TGCACAAAGTCATCTCTAAATTATAATATACCTCGATGAGAGAGCTTGCTCAATCAAATTTTCTAAGGTTAAGAGCCACAATGTCATTAGGAAAGTAATGTTAGGTCATCACCAGAGATGGTAGACAAAGTGGTGTCAATAGCTGCTACACTTAACCATTAACCTATAAAAGCATGCAACAAAACCTACTCAAACGAAATGTTCAATCAAAAAAATTCAAAAAAAAAAAACTTTTTCTTAACACATGAGAGGGGTGCATGTCCTGCACGGTTCATTGAGTAGAAGTTCGAGGGCTTTTGAAGTTATTTTCCCCCATATCTTGAATTTGAAAAATAGCATGAAGTTAATGGTTACAAAACATTATGAGATACACAAATCAAGAAGCCCTCTTGCTTTAATGACATCGGGAATGTCGAAGAACTTCCCCATTTGACCCCCTTCAATAGATTTTTCTATGATGATAATGTGGCATAGAAATCGCTAACTAACAATCCTAATAATTTTTTTCTAAAAACTTATAAAATATTAAAATGTTACCGGAGAATCTACACATTAATAGGAGCATTTATAAAAAAAATCTAAGCCGATTCCAATGAACACAGAGTCAAAAAAATTCTTATTGCACAATTAGTAAATGGGCTAAATTAAAAAGGTCGCAATTTAGATTTATTTTTCCTATCAAATGACAATATTTCAAATTAAGTTAATATTATAGATGGAATCTTGTGATGTAAGCAAAATACAAAAAAAAATTCTAGAATTTGTTGACTCCCCATTTGATAACAAAATTAATCAATTCCAAAAATATAACAAATTTAGAATTGAATATTCTAAAAAATAAGAAATTTTATTACATATCAAGATGACATAATTTCACACAAAAATTTTCTAAAATTTACACAATGGAAGAACCTTCAGGCAAAGAAATCCAACCAACGTGATAAACAAAGTGCAGAAAAAAACACTAAGTTTCACAAAAAAATCAATTTAAAACTACAAAGAATCAAATTATCAATCAGACTACCATTCTTTTTGAAAGAATATATTTTCGTTGTCATCTCCACATAACTCAATAATGACTTACCACCTTTTGAAATTTTGTACTTGATTTCAATCCCACTAAAGCCATTGGAGATAATTTTGAGTCATTTTAGAGTATTTCAATAAAAATTTTCATCGTCAAATATGTGTTGAATCTACTAAAAGGTGAAGAAACTATAATTGAAAGGCAATAATACGGTTCACAACCTGGATGGGAGTTCTAGAAATCAAAACTCAAAACATTATTTGAATATTTATACCACATTTGAGGGATTAAACATCTTTCAAATTTTGTGTGCTTATAATTAAAGCAAGTGTCTTAAAGAGGCAGATCAAACAAGTCAAAGATCACTCAATTGTGAGTTAATTAATACACAAAGACATCCAAAATTGTTTGATCAAATGCCGGGCACTCTTTTGTATAAATGAATAAAATGACCATTCCAAAAATATATAGATAGCCATATTCTTACACATTTAAGGAGGACCTTGCATAGAGAGGATTCTTGAACATAGAAAATTGACGAGAACATCAGATTTCGACACGTGTACCAGCGTCAGAGACGCAGATCGACGGCTACGATCCAGAGCCTTATTTCTGATTTGTTTTGTATTTTATTTATTCTTGCATTTTATTTTCCTAGTTTTCCCTTGTGGGTATTTAGTCGCTTGTGTAGCCCTTAGGGCGTTTGTGTCTTTCTAGCTTTGTCTTATTTTGGCCTATTTAAAGGAGGCCTCATGCATTATAAGAGATGATGAATTATTGAATGAAAAGTTTGTTCTTGTTTGATCTCTTAGTGAGTTCATGAGAGGAGAAGCCCGAGGAGGGTGATTTGCAATACCCGTCAATCTTGGTGGATTCCAAGGTTCGCGGTTCTCGTATCTTTCTTTTCTTTTATTTTTCCTTGCATCGAATTCCCTTCCCAAACTTTCAACCCGCCGGCCCTTCCTGTAGCCGCCGGCCACCCTCTCTTCCACAACCCTTTCCCCAACCTTCAACCGCCGGCCCCTTCCCCTCTCTCCACATGATTAAAATTTTGAAATTCAAATGATTGAATTTCAAATATTTCCAAATTTGTCAAAAGACAAATTAGAAAAGTTTCCAATGACATTCAATTTAATTTTAAATTAAATTGGATTTAAATTCCTCATCCATAATTTGCCGAGACGGATTAGGAAACCCATAACTCCTTTCCCCAAACCCCTCTCCCTCTCTTATTGTCGCCGGCCATAGGGGGGAATCCAAATTGATTCCCCCATTTAATTCCCCATACCCCACTTGGAATTTGAAATTCAAAATCCAATATTTTCCTCTAATTCCACTTAAACTGAAATTAATTTCAGTTTTCCATTAATTCCATCTAAACCTATTTAGACCTAGCTGCCCCTCCTTATCTCCCCTAGCCCACCCGAGAACCCCACTGCCCCTCCTCTTGGCCGCCGCTCCTAGGTAGCCAATCCCCCACCTCTACTTCCCACTACACACAAAGTCTTCTCGTGATCATGAATGACGGATCCAAAAGTTGATGACGAACTCGTTCCCAATTCTCACTGGGAGATTGATATCATCCGATCCTCCTTCTTTGATCCCGGATTCGGAGCCGAAGACACCGTCAAGGAGTACGTGGACCGCATCCTTCCCCACTTAGCGGAGTTCATCGACGAACAAAGGTCTCTTGAAGAGTGGACAACCGGACGACAACTCGTTCCTCCACCTCCGATTTCTTCCCCGACGACTAGTCCCCTCGGCATCACTTGTTTGATAGTGGCATCCTTAAAGTATGCTTGCAATTCTCCTCTGCTAACCTCCACTGTCAAGAGATTGAGTGAAGGATCTCTAGGTGAATGATCTAGATTTTAAACTTGAGGCTTTTGTTACATTTGCTATTTGCATTACCTACTAAACGTTCGTTGTTATTTTGCAAGTCCTACTAATCTCAAATTGTAACCCACTGCTATTACTTAATCTTTCAATGTCATATTCTTAAACCTTCACTTGATCAAACAAAGAGTTTATTGGTAGCAAAGCAAAGTTCACCACTTCTATTAATATCTTAATTGCAATTCTTGTTTATAGAATTTAGTTTCACATCAAAAATTCCATAGCATCAATCATCATTTATAATCCCAAGTGGTTATCTTAGGTATTTTCACTTATCCATACTTCTCTTATGGCTTTCCTAATCCCCTAGCCTTCACTTTAACTAAGAGAGCAACCGTGTCTATCATCTTTAAGCAACACCTCTAATGCCACCGTCAACGGATCCGTTGACGGCCGATGTTGCTTGTCTACCATCGACTGTTGTCGATTGACACTTTCAATCATTACCACTCGACCTTGACACCAGTTGTCACTAATTATTTAACAATGATGTCTATCACCACCAAAGTTGTGAAAATCAGATCAGACAAAGAACCAGAAGAATGAGAGGTTTACGGTTCGACCGATCGAACAGGAGTCCAACTAAATGATGTAATAAATAATAATATTATTAAAAATTAATAAAATTAACATAATAATGATGTTATCATTCTAAATATAAGACAAAAAAAAATTAAACGAAATATAAAAATTTAAATAGATAAATATTAAATATTATAAAATAAATAAATATTATTCATATTATGAAAAATAATTAAAAACTATTTAAAAAAAAAAAGATATGTGTTGCAAACATAAAACTAAAAAGAGCTTTTTTGCTTTGTATGGTTTTAGTCTCACGCCATTTGTAAAGTTTTACTTTGTATAGTTTATATAACCTTTTGCTTTTAATCATGATGGGAGCTCATATGGAGTGGTAGGGTCATGTGAGAATATTTGAAGCTATTCTTAATCATATCTAATGCTCATGTAAGAGTTTTAATAAACAATCTTCTAATAAATAATATTTATATTAATTTTTTAAGTTTAATATTATATTTAATATTAAATTAATTTGCTTAATTATTTAAATAAAAAATTTATTGAACCGGCCAATTTTAAAAAACAAGGATTAATTTAACGATTACCGGTTGAACAGGCGGTTCCTCCCGATTCAACCTGATTTGATGCAAAGGCGGTTCTTAAGTTGGTTCGGACCGGTCATCTGACCGGTTCAAAGTAGTCCGATCTGGTTTTTAAAACTATGATCACCACCATCAAATGACATCAAGGAAAAATGACCCCCTATTGTCTATTGGTCAACACCACAGCTCTCCAACATTCTCAACAATCAAAGAAGGAAAAAACCCCTACGACTTAGGTCTTGTAAGACTAACTCATCTGATAGTGGAGAAGGATAAATCACTATGATCTTCAGCTGACATGGTAAAATTATTTCAATTGTTTTAGGCCCCATGATTAATCCCATCTTAAGTTTTTAACAAAAAAAAAATCTTGTTCCTCTTTAATGTTGTAGACTTCTTATTTGCATGTGTAAAAGATTTCTGTGCATAACTAATATTATCAACACTCTCTCTAGTGCAGCAAATATTCTAGCATACAACACTTTTGAAATAGGTATAAAATGTATGCAAAAGCTTATACTTACAACCTGCCCAATAGGTATAAAAGCCGCGACATCTAATTCCAAAGTTAGCCAACGAAGCCCATGTCATCCTATCTGGTTTCAGGCTACAATCACTCACGAATTTGATCATTGGAGGAAATGGAAAAGGGGTGGAGTAGGATTGATCCTGTCCCCAACAAACAGACATAGGGTAGATATTGTAAGTACGAAGCCTACATTAGGTTCAAAGAAAAAAAAAATCACAAGAGCAAACGGGAACTGAGTCCTTACTTTAACTGTTATGTCATTAAGCTACAGACAGAATGTCACGATGGCGGTTGACTAGACTTATCATCAGATATATGGTAACATGAATATTCTCGTCATGAAGGTTTAATAGAATTTAATATAAAAGTGACGAAGCAGCATAACGAAGTATAATTATGACCACTCATAAAAAATCGAAAGCACCTTTCCATTGCATGTTGAGTGAGGTAAATCGGAGTTGGAGCTATTTCATTTGTTGGACTAAATGGCTGCACTGCACGGATATCATCCAAACCTAGTACAGCATCTGCATGTTCATGTGTCAAAATGATCTGCACTCACCAACAACAGTAGAATATATGTCAGCAAAATAAAAGCTTTGTGATTATATCAACGATCTCCCTTTACCATCATTGATTGTTGAATCAGTGTTCATCAGCAATATGTTGCCATCACTTCAACACCATGCAGACATAGCAATTTGATAGGAAGTGCTTACAAAAATTTAAGAAAAGGCTTGGCTAAAATCTAATTTCAGCAATCTCAGAAAACCAACAACAAGAAAACTAAAACAAGAACACACAAGAATTTTTTTTATTAAAAGTTTTAGTAAAAAAAAAAAACAAGATACAAGTAGATCTTCAATTGGAGAGGAAGATCCGGCTCTCCAAAATCTCTAGCCATCGGCTAGAGCTTAAACACCTTAAGAACAATCTAATTTTAGCGAACAACACATCCCCCTAACCCTAGGAAAAATCATTGCAAAGATGATGTTAACGTATAACTTCAAAAAATAATTATAAAGTTAGAAATTTAAAAGAAAAAATCATTCCAAAGATAAAAATTGTGAGTATAAAGTAATTTAGAAGAGGAAAAAAAAAAGATTGAAATGTGATAAGGACATCAGATCGTGGAGAGTCTATTAGAGACGTGACCGTCGATCTACGGTCACGATTGAGTCATTGTATTTCTGAGTTGTCTTATGTATTTTCTTATTTACGATGTCATATTGTATTTGTATTATTAGTTTGCTTTATTAGTTTCCCGTTGTGCCCTTTTATTAAAGAAGGTCGTAATTAAGCCCTAGGGGCATTGTCGTCCTTTTTTTTGTGAGTCTTTGTACGAGGCTATTTTAGCCCTAGTGTTCTTCTTTTGAAGGTAATGAATGATTGTTTGAAAATATTGCTTCTCTTTGTTTGAACTCTCATGAGAGCTTGAGAGATTGAAGTGAGGTCCCTAGGAGAGGGAGAATTATGCATCACCCACCAACTTAGACGAGTCGAGTTCGTGGTTCTATCTTCTATGTCTTTCTTCCCTCCTTCCCCACCACCACCGGCCATCATCACACCCAATACCTTCTCCCTCCCCAAGCCCTTTCACTTTACTCAACCGAGCTCCATATACACCCCACCTAGCCGCTGACCCCATACCCGAGCCCACTCAACCTGCCGGCCCTAGCTCCCCTCTCCCCATTGATTTCCATTGCCTAATTTGGATTGAACTAATTTGGGCAGATTTTGAATTCAAATTCATTCAATTCTAAATTTAAATTTTTTCCTAAATTACTAAATCTATTTTAGGAAAGTTCCTAAATTACATCTATTTGAATTTCAAATTCAAATTAGAATTAAAACATTTCTTAATTCTTAAACCCAAACTAAGAAGCTTTAACCCCCCCCCCCCCATTATTAAGCCCAATTAACCCCCATAGCCGCCGGCCCCATTAGGACAGATTTGGGGATTTATTTCCTAAAGCCCCATCTCCTCTCTTGGAAAGATTTTCAAAATTCCCCCATCCCTCCTTGGCCGAAATCTCCAAAGCCCATAACTCCTAATTAATTTCCAAAACCAAACAATTGATTTTGGAAATAAATCCCTCATCCCCACCTCCCATCATGCCGCCGCCCCTAGCCTAACTCTCTCTCTCTCTCTCTCTCTCACTCATATTAATTCCCACCCCCAATTTGGGGAATTAAAATCCCCTTCTATTTCCCTTTCCTCTCAATTTCAAAATATGAAATTTATTTCATAATTTTGAATTTAATCACTTCCTCTAACCTAACCCTAACCCCATGTGTGGCTTCCCCTTTTGGTCGAACCCTTCTCCTCTCCTTCTCTCTTGTTTCATGTGAGGATCCTCTTTCTCTCAAGAGATCTAGGAGCCTTGAAGGACGTCGCCGATACTACTACACACAACAAACAAAAGCATGGCCAATCCGGAACTTGATTACAGCCTCTCCTACGATGAGCAAGGATTTGTTTGCATCCTGCACTCGACCTTCTTCGACGTCAACCCGCGCATCGATCACACCGTAGAATAGTACAAAGAGCACATGGCTTGGACACTTTGGTCGAGGCTATTGAAGAGCAACTTGGAACCATCCAGTGAAGGATTACAACCGATCCTTGACGAAGGTCTTCTCATCTTCCTCTTGTATTTCTTAAAGTCTAACCCTCTTCCTTGTGATTTGATATTAGTCATGGAGATCATGTTCGCCTAACTCTATCGAGCTTAGTAAACGTAAGGATTGAGTGCACTTCATTTGTTTCTAATCTTATTGTTAGATTAGGGATTTTCGTTGAAAGCTATTATACTTGCATGTTGTTGATTTCCTATATTATTTTGATGATTCAAAGCTCTTATCGTGTAACTTAGCCTAAACAGGAGTGACAGCTCTTACGTTTTATTTTGTCGTTTTATTTGCTAATAGTTCTAATCTTTATTATTCTAATCAATAAATCGTGCAAGTTCTTTTCAAGTTATTGCATGCATTGTAGTCCTACATCAAAATGAGGATTATAAAATCTACTTGACATATTTTATGAATTTAAATATTTTAAAAATTTGTAGATAATGGTTATATGTAAAATAATACTTTCACATGGTAATAATCACTTTAAAAAGTATAATTACAAAAAGACAACTGATTTTACGTTAAAATATGTTTATGAATATAAGCTCGAGATACGTAGCTAGAAAAAATCAGTTCCTTCATTACTGAGATTGGTATATTAATTTCTTCAAATTCTATGATCTAGAAAGTTTTCTTCGCTAACTATTGGATCTGTTGGATTATATTTGATGAATAATATGTCATCCAAATTTTAGGAAGATAGGTTGTCTTCCAGCCGTTAGATTTGATTTAGGCTTCATAACAAAAAAAATGGAGCACTATCTTTAATATTGTGCAAAACACACAAACACACAAATATATATATATATAATTAGACAAATGTGAGGCTAAAAAAAATGACAAATGTGAGGCTATGCATATGCCCGTATAATAATAGATAATTTATAGAAGGTTTACTCACGGAATCTACACAAGGAATTTTATGGTGCGTAAACCAACGCAGAACTTGTTCTCTAAATGTTTTACCAACATCAATCAATATATACTTGTGGGCGCCATTTTCATCAACATAATCAATCAAGAGAGAAGTGTTGCACCTGTAAAAGCAAAAGAGAGTAAAAAGAACATATTAAGATTCCGAAAGAATAAAGGGATCTCTTGAAAAACCTTTTTTTCTACCAAATTTCTAGTCTTTCGAATAACATAATAAAGATTCAAAAACTTTCAAAGAACATGAACTATGTTTGAAACTCATTATCTATTAAACATTGATTACAATCAAGCTAAAACTTTAAACGTTGTAGGTTAAGCCTATAATTAATATAATATCACGACACGACCATTACAAGAAAGCCCATTTAGCTTGCCAGGAGAAATCTACTTAAGAGAAAACTAGTAGAGATGCAGTTGAGAAGAAGAGTTACACAATTGTCTCAGCTGTAATTAGATGCGAAACGACTATTTAAGAAATCATATGAAGATATCTCAGTTTTTGTAGAAGTAAATCAGACTTTATTCTTAAAGATAGAATTGAAAAGAAGAAAATTAAGAACATTGGCTCAGATTGCAGTGGCTTGAGATTTCCCTCTTAACCCAAAGAAAACCTATTATCAATCTTGATGATTATTATTCGGAGATTTTTGAGATACCTAAATGAAAAAAAAAAAAGAAATTCATCAGACAAGCCTTCTAAGGAAATAAAAACAGCTACTGGTCTTATCCGATTATTGGCGCGCTCCTTGAGAATTTGCATGAAAGGGACAAGAATAAAGAAGCTTCTCATAGTAATCCATTTGAGTTAGAATCAAAAGGATGAGGAAAAAAGTAAGATGAAAGGTCTCTTTCCTTTGTAATCCTAAATCCAACAATACACATTGATGAAAGTGATCTTGAAGAAACCTAGGTTTTGCAATTACCTTGATTTGCTGACTTATAATAAATATAGGAGTTCATAAACTCCAAATTTACTTTGGAAATATGCCTAAGGATTAACAAAAGATATATACTGAGAAAATTCAAAATATCCTGAAATTGAATAAAGATGGATATTCTACAACAGTTAATACATTTTACAACATTTCATTTTAGAATTGTAATTTCAACCCTCTTAATATCCATATTGCTGACCTTACTTGCTCCCAGTCTAACTAGTCAGATTTTAGTAAATACACTAATGAAATAATTGTAATGTATTATGGAGACCAGTTGTTGGGAACAATGCATTCTAACCTTTATCTGAATGATTATTTAGAAGCAACTAAATATAGTCATTTCCAAGCCAAAAAATATCTCCAAGCATCAAAGGCAATGGTTAGAAGAACTATTATTGAGTTGAATGTTAAGGTGGATGAGGCCTAGAAGAAAACTTGAATGTATGATGCACTTGCAATAATTAATTCTTTTTGCATAATTTTATTGTTATATTGGACAAGCTCATTTTTTATATCAATAGGTATGCCAAAGAATTAACAACAAGCCAAACCACTTCACTCTAAAGACATGATAGAATCAATTTCTCAAAAGATCAAGCGAAAGGAAATCTGCAAGCATGCAAACTCACATGCATGTGCACATAACACGCACGCGCAACATATACAAATATATATTTACTTATATATGTATGTAACAAGAATATTAAGTAATAAAAAATTCTACTTGTTGCATACTCTATTTGTCTGAGATTGTAAATATATTTAAAAAAAAAAACAATCAGTTAGTGCCCCCTACAAACTTTTAATTAATTCATTAAGATAAAACTTAATGATGCAGGACTAAAATGTTTAAATGTATGAGATAAGAATTTGCACAATTTATTGAATAAAACAATTACGATTAAAACTATTAGTAGTCAAAACGATAATAGAAAACAAGAGATGGGTGCCTACGTTTAGGCTAAGCCACTTGCCAAACGCTTGGACTATCAAATAATTAGAATCACAATAGTAAGCAAATATAGTAGCGTTCAACAAAATCCCTACACTAACAAGAAAATCAGGAGCATAGAAAGTTAACTCAATTCCTACGCTTACTAGGCTTGGCAGAGATAGGCGAACAAGATCTTCATGAATCAAATCAAATAACTAGAGTGAGTTAGACTAAGAAAATATGAGAGAAGGAAGATTGGAAAACCCACATTACTTTTATTAATTTTTATTTTTACTGCTGCACATGAGTGCATTAGTGGCTGTTTACACCTTTTTAGTAGTTTTCTGTTAGGCAAAAGAGCATGTAGCAGTCGGTCCTGGAGAAAGAAGGAACCTTTTGATTTACAATATTTTAGAACTACTAAAGGTTCATAGAAACCTGAGTATTGTTTCATTGGATTATTCTGCTTGCTCTAACTATCTTTTGCAGGATCCCTGCATCATAAAGTGTGAGTGAGGATGGAAAGTTTCCGAGTCTGGAATGAGTTATGGCTGAACGAGTCAGGGATCTCTAAGGTAAACACTTTCATGTAAATGATTTTGGCGAGCTCAACATGTTTCAAGGGTAAGAGCTTGACTGAGATGAGTGATGATCTGCCTTCCCGGTCAAGGGACCTTCTGGTCACCCAAGGTACAGTGAGTTCTTCAAGAGGATGCGGGCGAGTGGCGCCCTCTACTTAGGCAAAGTTCTTTGGTAGTCATTAGTGAGTTCGCTAAGGCATTTGCTCCTGAAAAGAAATATCCTTGCCACAACTCAGCTACTACCTGTGAAGGCAACTAAGGGCATACACCCTAGATTTTTTTTCTTAGTTTTATTTGGTTTATAAAAAAAAAAACTAATCTCACGAATTTAAAATGCGAAGTGATTCAAATACAATGCATTTCAAATACCTTTGAACTCTAAATTCTTGCTTCAAAACATCACCAATGTAAAAACTCTTGCATCTGTCCCAAAATGTAATGAACTATGCCTTCAATCATACTTAATTTGTCAAGTAAACTATCCATACTTCAAAGACATTTCAGTTAGAGCATGTTGTACTTTGTTCCTAGATTTAGGTTTCTTAAGCTTGTATAGCCTTGTGTGATGCTTGTGTATAGCATTAGGTGCCTATAAATATAGGTTTTATGAGTTGTAATAGGTATGGTTTAAAGAAATATAGTTTCTTGTGTTTATTGCCTCCCTCTTCCCTTCTCCTCTCTCCCTCCTCCTCCTCTCTCAACTTCAAGAAGAGGAAGTGTTCTTCCTCTTTTGCCGGAGTTGGATTCAACAATTGGTATCAGAGCCTCGTTGAGGCGATCTTGAGGTGGAGGAGGCGGAGACGAGTTTTCTTGTCTAAGGAAAACGAGGAGAAGAGGGCGGCGTCGAGTTTGGCTCGGCGAAGGCCGGAGGTGCTTTCGGCGGCAAATTGGGCGGCATTTGTTCGTTGGGCGTTGCTGCAGACGAGGGTAGAGAAGCCGGTGATGGCTTGGTACCTCGTGTAAGGTGGAGTCGAGCTCGTTCGCTAGACTCGGAGCCGGATCCGGCGCGGACGTTGTCGCCGGATCTATGCGGAAGTGCGAGTAGAGTTGAGGCTCGCATTTCTTGCCGTCAGTTTTGGCTTGCCGGCAGCAGGCTGTTCGTTCGTGGACTTCGGGAGGAAGCGAAGTCCCATTCTTGATCGCAAGAAGTCGGAGGTGGCTTTAGGTGCATTTTCTGTCAGATCTTGGACTCGACGGCGGTCAAGGAAGGCAGGTTGTTCGTTCGTGGTGTTCGAGCGGAGGTAGAGTTCGTTTTTGATCGGGAGGAACAGCGGACGCAAGGCCAAGGCAGAAGCCCGACTGGGCTTGGTGACGCGATTTATTCGCGTGAGGCAAAATTAGGCCGGGTTTGAGGCTTGCTCGGAGCTTACACGTGAAGGCGATCTTGATCGCAAGAAGTGAGCGAGGTTAGCGCAGGCTATCTTGATTGGCAGGCGTCGAAGGCGGAAGTTGGGCTCGGTGTTGAGGTCAGAGAGTTTGACCGAGTTGGATATGGTGGATCTACTTGGGTAGGCCTGGTGCTTCTTGATTCAAGAAAAGATTCGTTTGATCATTGCAAGTGCCATGGAGACGGACGAGATGGGTTCCGCATGGAGATTCTTGAGCGGACAGGACGGCCGATGACGAGATGGGCGTGGATGGAGTCTCTGGGTTTTGGCTCGAGTTGCTGATCTCCGATATGGAGCTTTACAAGAAATTGATGTTGCCATTGTCCAGCTAGAATGAGAAGCTGGTGGTGAGAACTTGTTGCTGATCGAAATGATGGCCATGGCTGGTTCGGATGTGCCTCTTGATTTAAGATAGGGAGATGGAGTATGGACGTAGGCGGATCATACTGGAGTTGATCGCATAAGAGGCTGGAAGCCATGGAGGCCAAGAAGACCACGAAACTCTTCATCTGTAAGCTGCCGTTTCAAAGGCTAAAGAGAGAATACTGCTGATACAGAAGATGATGTCATTGGTGGCATCAGAAGTTATTTGAAGTAAATGATTCAAGAAGGCGAAGTTCTCTAGATAAACGGACTGGAGTAGTGTTGCTGACTCGTTCGGACGTGTAGAATGTAGTAGAGGCTCGGCAACAGACGGACTGATCATGCGAGCCGGCCGGAGCAGAGGTTCCTTGATAGGCAAGGCAGAACGGAGGGCTTGTTCTTGCATGGATTGTGTCCGCAGGAGGTTAAATCAGAGTCGATAGAGGGTCCGGAGTCCTTCTTGCAGACGGCTTCCGGAAGGTAGATGGCACATGGGCTGAACGTGCGGAAGGCAGTTCGGTCGTGGTTGATTTCTCTTACAGGCGAAGCGACGACCTATTGTCGCGATCTTTAAGTTGGCGAAGGAGATCGTACTAGCTGGGAGCCGAAGGCAAAGCGGCAAGTTGCCGCGATTCGAGGTGCAGTGGATGCGGGACCGGAAGGGCTGGCCGGGCGCGATCATCCGTAGGCCAGGAGCTGATTCTTGATCGCCGGAGAGAAGCCGGACGTGGTTTCGTCGGCAGCTGGATGCCGCAATGGAGCTTATTCGCACACTGAAGAGTGAGCGTCGGGCCTTGCTTGAATGTGGCGGTAGTGGGTGAGGAGTAGCGCCCACATCATCCGACGAGGTCGCCGGAGAAGAATCGGGTAGACAACGAGATGGGGAATGCGAAGCCGCCGCATCCGTGGAGTCTCAGACCGCTGGATCTAGTTCTTGTGCAAGAAGCTGTGCGGAATGAAGTTTGTTCGCGTGGGGCGAACTGAGGCAGGACGCGATCAGTTGGCGTAAGGCGGTCTGATGCCGTGATTTGACGATCGTTGGAGCAGGGGTTCGGCGAGCGGGCGATTGGCTCGGCCGGCCAGATTCGATGCTTGTGTACCTAGGCTTCGAGAGGAAGCGGAGCAGCTGGAGTTGGTTCGGCAGCTGGCTCTTGTGCAGGAAGCTGTCGATGGAGGATCCAGAAGTCGGCTGGGTGTTGTCGGAGGCGAGTGAAGCCGGATTTGGCTTTGTTGGTGCCTGGTGTCGCGATCTGAAATGAAATGGAGATCGCGCAAGCCTCTTGATCAACGGCGGAAGCCGAAGCCAAGGAAATTGGAGGTCTCGCACGGTTGGCGTCAGAGGTGAAGCGGGACCAGCTCGCTAGTTTGGTCGCAGGAGGCGACTTCAGCAGATAGCGCCAGAGGGCGCGTGAGGCAGCGCTGGTACGCGCTGCCGGCCAGAGCAAGCAAGGCATGCGAGAGTCCGGCCTTGCTCAGGTGTGCTAGGGTGATTGAAGCGGGAGGCTTCGCGAGGAAGCGAAGCAGTCGATTTTGCTCGGAGTTCGCCGGACTCGGCGAAGGGAGCACAAGATCTTGGCAGGATTTTGCCAGATTCGGCGGAGGCAAATGTTGTTGCCGGTGACCGCCGACGTGCAGAGCAAACGAAGGCCGGGTGCAGGCACTGGGCTTGCAGGAGCTTCGGGAGGAAGCATAGGGAGACACGCTGGATATTGCGTGTACAAAGTATGGCCTGAAAGCAGGCATTTGCGAGGAAGATTGCTCTTGCTGGGCACTGGTGCGGGTGTTCGCACTAGAAGATCGAAGCTGCTGGAGTTTTGTAGCTTCCGATTTGAAGGTGGTGGCATGGTGCCACGATTTGAAGGTATTGCTGGATGAAATCCTAGAAGAGAAGGCTCTTGATCTTGATTTGATCAAGGTGGAGATTTGCCGAAGCTCATGAAGCAGAGGATGCTGGTGGTGGCTAACCGGTTGCCTGTGATTGTTTGTCCGGAGAAAGCCACCGAGCTTGAGGTGGAGCCTGTTAAACTAAGAGTGTGGATTCGGGTTTTGAGCAAGACGGATGCTAAGAAGATGCTAAGAAGACCTTTCACACAGGAGGATTGGAGATCCTTGCAGCTCATGAGGAGCAAGGTCGGCTGAGTGGAGTGCAGCCATAGGTGAGAGAGCCTGACAGGAGCTCGTTGCACGAGCTGAACAAGCTAGCTAGAGCTTGTGATCTCGCTGGAGTCGCGAGAGGCGAAAAGATCTGTTCAGATCTTTGAGGTGGAGCTGTGGACTTCAAGTGAAGTCCTGGAGATTACGAAGTGGAGTCGACCTGTTCTTGAGCTGTGCCGGGAGTGCGGAGTGCCTGGAGGTGCGCATGGCACTGGCAGAAGACACGCAGGGCGCTGGCCGGACGCGGTAGTGCAGGCGTGAGTTTGTGACGACCGGAGAAGAACTGTTGGGTGTGAGAGCGAGAAGAGGATGAGGTCTTTGTTAACGGCTGGTTCTTGCGCTTCTTGTGGAAGAGAGAAGATTTGAGGAGTAGAAGGTGTACCCTTCTTGTTTTCCTCTGGTTTGGTCTTTGTCTCTGAAAGGCGATGGGTTGATTGCCGGTTGGAAGCTGCTTGTGCCGTAAGATCTAGATCCTTAGCTGAACGCTGTTTTGTAGGTGAGTTGATACTTGCTGGGCTCTCGGAGTCTTGGGGCTACGTCCCCTGGTTTACCCGACTGTATGTTCTTTGTTGTTGTTTTAAGAACAGTTGATTTCCTTGTTTTGTAAATCTAGGATCAAGGTGGAGATTTGTTGTACTTTGTTCCTAGATTTAGGTTTCTTAAGCTTGTATAGCCTTGTGTGATGCTTGTGTATAGCATTAGGTGCCTATAAATATAGGTTTTATGAGTTGTAATAGGTATGGTTTAAGGAAATATAGTTTCTTGTGTTTATTGCCTCCCTCTTCCCTTCTCCTCTCTCCCTCCTCCTCCTCTCTCAACTTCAAGAAGAGGAAGTGTTCTTCCTCTTTTGCCGGAGTTGGATTCAACAGAGCATTCGAGTAAAATTCCGTGAGAAATAGGGCATTCAGCCATCCATTCAATGTAGATATAAGAAGCAGATCACCCTCACATCATGACCAATAGTATCGATCAAATCCAAAAACGATCTAAGCCACATCCCCAACCCACTCATCAAGCACGGATCTAACATTATTGAAGCACGACATACATCCAATAACCAAATATCAAACCGCAAAACGTCCTTTACCAACTACCGCGCATGGAATTCTCAACACTCAAGGACCATGAAGATCCACCAGCAAGCACACGAAACGAAACAGAAAGAATTAGATAGAAGAGAAAGCAGCATCGGACCTGTAATTAGGGTTTTTCTCCGGAGGCAGGAAGAGCGATTGGGAGCAGACCTCACACGGTGGATCCGTCGGGAGGAGAAGGCACCGGGCGTTGGGTACCGCACTGGAGCAGCCAGTACCGAGGAAAATTAGCGAGGATACGCCATTGTCAAATTGTTCGCCGTCCACTTTGAGATCGCCGTTTTGAGATAGCGCCTTCGTCTCCATCTCTCCAGCGCTGCCCCCGTGGGAAAAAGTACGACAAGAAATTCCTACTTCCTCCTTTCAGAGAAGTGGCCGAGCGGTATTTATAGCCTCGAATGCTCGACTGTGAAGAGTAGCAGGCTATTGCCGCGTTTGGCAGTTGGCCAAAGCCTCAAAATATCGTTCATCGCCATTTTTAAAATTAAATTTTCGTTTTCTTTTTATAAAAAGCAATCTTCATATATGGCCCATCATACTCTGTTGGATTACAAAAACTATTTTATAAGTGAATTATTTTGAAAATTTACCTTTTTTTTTAATATTGGAGGATGCGCTTTAAATAAGTAGAAATATATTACACATAAAATTGTAATTATTTTTTAAAATTAAAATTGTAAAAATATTTTCAGCATATATTAATACATTATCAAGATGAGCCTATTTTGTTATGACAATTGATATGAATTTCACATTATATTTTTATAAGAAATATTTATATTTGTTGTACTTGTATGAATGTATGCTAATTGAAATAGCACCAAAAAATCTATAAGAGTAAGCAAGTACCTTTAATGCAATATTTGAAATAGAAAGCTTGCCTAGTTAAATTTGGAATCATTTAAAAATTGATATTATGATCAGAATCCAAATGAGTTTAAATCAAATATTTGAAACTTGGTTAAAATCTTAATGATACTTTCAACACAGGTCATCCGATGGAGTATTTGAAAATTTTAGTTAAAAGTATCAAAATGACACTTAAGAAATTATAAATAGACATTCATTCTTCAAATGGGAAAGAACTAAAATTAGAGAAAGCATAAAGATCTATCCAACTGACGGTATCAATGACCATTGCTAATAACCAGGGGCGGAAGAATGAACTGTTGTAACTAAAGTTACATGGTATATTATTTCAATAGGTCAAGCCCAGTAACTTTTTTGCTTTTTTTTTTCACATTAAAACTTTTATGTCTTTTCTAAACTTTTTTTAATGCGTATTGGATCTTTGTATAAAATTAAGACATAAAACTCTCACTATTTTCACAATTATTCTAACATGCAATTAGGGGTGTCAATTCGGGTCAACGGGTCGGGTTCGGGTCGAACCCGGAACTGACCCGGCACTGTTCAAGTCAACCCCGAACCCGACCCGTTTTTAAAAACGGGTCAGGTTTTCGGACCCGAACCCGACCCGATTCGAGTCTGGGTCAACCCGACCCGACATGAATGACCCGAAGTTGACCTAAAATTGCTAGTTTTCGGGTAAAAAAATTGGGTCAATCTTCTATTTTCGGGTCAAAATGGGTCAATCTCGGGTTTCCAAGTCAAATAGGCATTTTCGTGTCATTTTCGGGTTGCTGGGTCAACCCGACCCGATTTTTATAACGGGTTGATATGTTGAACCCGAACCCGACCCGTTTCGGGCCCGGGTTGACTCTAACCCGGATTTTTTCGGGTCGTGTCAAAAATTGACACCCCTACTGCCCTATATGCAACACTAAATAAAGCCATATTTGAATTACTTTAATTCAAATAGTCCTGATTTATAAAAGTAGTTATTTAATTGTGGATGATAAGGAAGAAAAATTATTATCATTATGTTCTTTGCCTTCTTCTTATAAACATTTTCATTAACACCACATTATATGGAAGTATGGAGGAAGTGAAGATTCATTTCTAAATAAGGATATCATTTAATAACGCCATGAGGATATTAGTAAAGAAAATTAAATCAACGTATTATTCATGTTTAATGGTACCATTTTAGAGTGCAGCATTTGTGTTATAAAGATCTATCTATTACATGTAGCTAAATTGCATCTGATCTAGAGAAGCATTGCACAAAATCATTCTAATTCATGCATATTTTAACATACGCATATGAGAAATTAGCGATAGGCAAAATTTTTAAACGGAGCAAGCTAATAATTGATCTTAGGTGTACGAGCTTAAAAGGATAATAATTTGAGAAGGAACAGGCTCGTGAAAAGATTTTCCAGTTTTAAGAAATTGTTAAAGGGTTTCTAGCTTCTCTGGAACCAGGAAAGGGATTTTTGGTTTCATTAGCTGTGATATATGTCACTGAAAATCACACTGATGAGGTGCTACTGTGTACTGTTGAGGCATATTTGAACAGAAAATTTTTAAAATTAAATTTGAGATCATGCAAACTTTGATCTTAGCAACATTATAGTTAAACTAAATTTCTTGACAAAACGAACTCAATGACACCAAAATATGCTCAATCTGAGGCCAAATGGGCTCGAACCAAGGGCCTGAAGCAAAATTGGAAACTTCAAAGCATTAATATGGTAATCAAATAATCACTAAATATAGCATGCTTATAGTCGAATCAAGTGACTCAATGAGACAAATCCAACAAGCTCAAGATCACTTAATTTTGACATTAAGGTATTTAAATGATTAACGAAAACCTTATGATCGAAGGAATCAATACGAACAATTTGATGAATCACTCTAGCTTTGCCCTAGATTTTCTCTACATTTACGGGGGGGATAAAACCCACAAACAGGGGCTAACGCATTAATGAAAGAAATGTTACAATTCCTTAATGAATCCAAAGCCCTTTAAAAATATATCATTTAAAGCAAAACATATGAGTCTTTAATTCAATCTAATTACAATAATCAAGCAAAAGAAAAGACAGCAAGCCAAAAGCCATGACCACATAAAGAGCCACCCATGAGAGGGTATCAGGAAGATGCCCAATGCCAACACCTCAAAAGGTCCAATACAATATCAACCTGCAATATTTGAAACAACAAAGAAAAGGCAAAAGGAGAAGGCAAAAAAAACATGCCACCATCCACCCAAAAGAACCACCAACAACACAAAACTAGCGACAACAAGCCACCAATCAACAAACAGAACCAGAAACAATACAGCCTAAAGCAAAAAAATACAACCACCCCCAGCCAATAACTCCACAAGACTAGACCAGCCAAACAACCACACAATAGGCAACCCCATCCCCACCAAAAATAGAACCAACAGGAGAAGATACCTCACCACAAACACAATAAAAAAATAACTAAAGCAACAAAGCACTAACACACCCCAAGCAAACTGAAGAGCGGCGCAAGAGTAAAAAGAAAAACAGCCAACAACCCAAAACAGGTCCCAACGGCATATCAGAAAAAATCAAGCAAAAGGAAGATTATTTCCTTTTGATTTCCTCCATATTCATTTACCAACTTTTTTTAAAAAATCTTCCTCAACAATTTGAATAACATTTAAGTCATAATTTTTCGAGAATCCACCCCATGCTCATCAACTTCCTCCCCAGCCTCCTAGTTAGTTGATGAGTCACAATCAGCTAACCAATCCCCTTAAAACACCTCATTATCCATCGGATTAAGAGCTAATTGAGCTAACAAGGCATCATTAGTTACAAGAGAAATGGGCACATCAATGAGAGGCACATTGACATTCATATCCATTGGATAAACACAATATTAAACAATAACAGTATTATGAATCGAAACAGCCACACCATTAGCAACAACCCCCAACTCAACAGACATGACCACCCCATGTCAACTACAAGACACTCCCCAAGTTCCATGACGCAGGAACAGGGTTAACATCAACACCATCACTAGAATCAGCAATAGCATAATCAACATCAATACCATCACCAACAATAGAACAAGGGGACACAATGGGAGTAGCTAAAAGGTTAACCACACAATCATTAACACCCTCTCTGTTTTCATAAGCAACAACCAAAGGCAAAGCAGTGTTCGACGAAGCAGCTTCCTTCTCATCATGACCGACAACATCCCCATTGTAAACAACAATAAGACCATTATCCATCAACACAGTAACAAGAATCAAGGTAGATGTAGTTTAAATTATTCATAGTTTCCAAGATATCAATAGTATTCCACTATTCCCATTAGAGCTAACATGATTAAGAGTAGTAGAAACTAGTTTTGACATGCTTAATTGGGGATTTAAAATACAACATTTCTTTTTATCATAACCAAAAGTTTTACAGCGTTTGCAGAAAGAAAGCAAATCTTCCATCACAATAGATTGAACATACCCAAGCTATCCTGACCAATCCAATTACAATCGGGATAACATTTAGTGATATTTAGCTCAACTAAAACCCGTGCAACCGAAGGGCGAGAGCCCACAACAGTTGCATTATCAATGCGCAGAGGCCAACCAAATAATGAACCCAAGCCATTTAAAATGCAAGGAGAAAAGAGGTGATGACACAAATTAGGGTAAGAGACCCAAATATGTATAATGGGAGATTCAACCGTTAAATCCAAATAAGGAGACCACTTAACCAACTTCATGAAGCAATTATTGATAAAATAAGAATGATGCCTAAAAACTCTATACTTTGAGGTTTTGAAGTTAATTCTACAAAATATATTTCAAACTACAAGTATTTAAAACATGTGCATTCTTTACACTTGATGCTCATTAAAGATTTGGGCTTAGTTTCATTTGGAGGAATCAAAGGAAAGAAAAGTATTATTAAAAAAAATTATATTTTCTTAAGTTTCTTTCATTTGGTTATAAAAAAATCAAGAAAAAAATTTAATTGTTTTATCTAATTATAAGGAGGCGGCCTCTGAGCTATGATTATGACTAAATAATTTTTTTATTAAAATTGCAATAAAAACTTTAATATGAAAGATAAATTAAATATTTTATCAATTCTTTTAAATTAAAATAATTTATAAAATAATTCTATAAAGTCAGTGAGAAGGACTGTAAAGACTCTTAGTTGAAAATTATAATGAGCTCGTTGACATATTTTTGTGTGTTAAGCAAGAATGAAAGGAAAAGTTGATTCGTACGTATTAGCTTTGAGAATAAGCTATTTATATAGCATTTTTGATCTGTTTGAGACAATCGTCTAGATGCTATATTTTTCAAATAATTATGATTTTATTTGGAATAATTTTTTTATTTTTTATTTTTTATTAAAATAATTTTAGTGTATAAAAATTAAAATATGTGTACTAAAAAACTGCTTTTCCCAAACCAAGCCTAAAGTTAATTTTGGTTACTCCTTTCTTTCTTTACAGCAACTTTTTTTCAACAAAAAATATTTAAGGCTGCATTTGGGGCCGAGTTTTTAATATTTCTAAAGCTTTTTTTATTACAAAAGTTTATAAGTCAATATTTTTTTGTACTAAAAATTTGTTTTAGAAAGCTATAAAAAACCTTCTCAAACGAAACCTAAGTGATACCACTCTCAAAAAATTATAAATAGCTCACATTCTTCTCATGAGAGGGGGAGAGAAGAAAAGGAAGAGAATGGAAGAATTTGGGAGCTTCCTCGCCGCTGACCACCTCCAGAGTTCTTCCCGACCACTGCCGAACCTGTTTGTCAACCAACGCCGAACTTCCGCCCATTTGTCCACCATCGTCGGAGTTATTCTCGACCACCGTCAGACTTCCGCTTGTTAGTTGATCACCAACAGACTTACGCCCGTTCGTCGACCACCGCCGGAGTTCTTCTCAACCACCGTCGGACTTCCACTCATTCGTTAATCACCAACAAACTTCCACCTGTTTGTCGAACACAGCTACGATCCTTCCGACAACCATCGCCAACTACAACTACTATCATTCTGACCACTGTAACCCAACTACGGCCCTTCCGACCTTTATCGCCCCCCACTGACTAAGGTCCTTCCGACCACCATTGCCCAACAACGGTCCTCGCGGCCTCCATCGCCCGCCAACTATGGTCCTTCCAACAACCATCGCCAACTACGATCATTTTGATCATCATCGCCCAACTACGTTCTTCCCGACCTACGTCGCATGACAACGGTCTTTCCGACCTCCATCGCTGGACAACGGTCAATCTGGCCTTTGTCGCTTGACAACAGTCTTTCTGACCTCCATCATCCACCGACTATGGTCCTTCTGACATTTGTCGCTAGACAAAGATTTTTTCGATTACAGTCATCTGACTAAGGTCTTCTGACCTCCGTCATCTGCCGACTATGGCCCTACTGCCCAAACGAACATATCAACATTGATTATTCCAACTCGCACCATATAATGCACTCTATATGATGTATATTTTTTATATCAAGCCAAGACCTTCTTCCTAAGGAAGGGCCTCAGTTGTATTATGGTGTCTCTTATAAACGATACAACTATACTCTCGTATATGTTTGTGTGGTGAATTTTTATACAAAACTATGATGCTAAACTATATCACTCTCTGTCGTCGTGCATTTTCTAGGACGCAACACTAAGTTATCTTCCTCAAAATAACTATATAGCTAACTTTATAAAACGCATAAGTTATCCCAAACAAATATTATAAAAGTTATTAAAAAAAAAAAAGAATGAAATGCAAGAAATTAGACTACTTACAAAATTTAGATCAAAGAAAAAGGTGGTTAAAAGTGTATTTTTAGTGAAAAAAATAGAGTAGGTCCTTAAGTTAATGATTTAACACATAATATTAATAGAAAAAAAATTTAATAAATTTGTCGCTACTAATTGGTGAAATGGTTTGGACTTTGGACTGATATAAGTTATTAACGTCTAAGAAAAATTCATTGTAATATTCTGATTAACTTATCCATAAAAATCCTCATGAAACTCAGTATTATTAGATTCAAACACGGCTGCACCATGAAGAATTTTCCAAACAAGAAGTCTTGTCAAGAGCAAGCAGCAACGAAACGGCAACAAGAAGACTTCCTTCAGTCCTTTTACGCTATTATGGAAAATTTTTAATATTTTTTCGCACATTTATATTCTCCAGTGACAAAGAGGTTTCATAAATTAGTGAAACGCCGAAAGAAATTAAATGCTAAAGAGGTTTCATAAATCGTAATAATAATGAAGAAAATGATATCTTAAAACAAATAAATGGAATTATTTGTATGTATAATGTATGCTATCTGTATTAAAATTTACAGCTTTAATAAAATTGACCAGAGTGGTGCCGGCGAGGTAACCTCCGGCTGAGCAGACTAAGAATAAGAAGAAGAAGAAGAAGGGATAAGTTTCTCTTCAGCACACGGCGACGGAATATCCTCCGGGTCCCGGCGAGGCAGGACCCACCTCCCGAACTCATTCCTCACCATCCCCTTATTCTCCGGCTGGTACCAGCACGCCGGAATCCTGAGTTCCTCCCTCAACAATCCAGTTGCCTTGTTCACCAACGCAACGTCCCGGCGAGCCCCTGCACGAAATCTACACTCCGCCCGCTCGAATCCGTCCACCAAATGCAGATACGTCTCCAATGCATGAAACCCGGCGATATCCACCACGCCCCGTTTCAAGTACGGAGATGCTCCGACGTCGAGAGTCAGCTCGTCGCCGACGTGCGTATAAACCCACTCCCATCCCTTTCCCTTCCTCCCCTCGTTGAACACAACGCCGGGCACCTTCGGCACCACGTCCTGCTTCGTTACCACACGAAGTACCTTCACTCCTCTTCTCTTCAGCATGTCGCCAAACACTTGGTTCCCCACCCGAGGCGCTCCGAAGGATATCACAGTAATCCTTACGTCGGCCGGGAGCAACGAAACCGCCTCCGCGGCGTTGAGAAGGGCGAGCGCGCCGCCGAGGCTGTGCCCTGTTATGGTGACGCTCACCTCCTCCCCCTTGTTCTTATAGAATTCGACGAGGCGGAGGAGTTCGCGCATTACTTGCTCCGAGGCGCTGGAATGGGTGAAGCGGGAGGACTGGCTGCGGGATGTGTATAAGCTGAGAAAGCCTTTCTCGACGAGGGCGCCGTCGTCGTCTGCACATGGAAGGGGCTCGAGCCGGGATTGGACGTCTTCGAGCCACTCGCTGGGGGAGACGGTTCCGCGCCACGCGACGGTGATGTCCCGTAATCCGATGCGCCGGGTCTCGGCTTCGCCGCTGACGGCGACGAAACCCATCCAGTTGGATTCATCGCACCAACGGGATTCTGAACGCAGAAGAGGGCGCAGGAGCCATTGCGGTAGATCGATATGGGATGTAGCATAGAGGTATTTCGTGACGCTATAGCCGTGGCGGGAGAGGCCGAGGAGGGGAACGAGGCGGCTGCGGCCGTAGAGTGAGCAGCCATGGTACTCGGAAACAGGGTTGTTGTCGAAGGCGTCGTAGGTGGCCTGGGCGAACTCGCCGTACTTGAGAATCTCGCGGCGGAGGGAAGGGTGGAGAGGGTCGAGGAGAGGGGACCAGTCAACGGGGCCGTGGATGGCGGAGCGGAGAGAGCAGATATCTTCTTTTGGGGAAAAGATGGGTGTTTGATCATGATCAAAAGAAACAGGGAGGGCTTTGGGGGCGGCGGAGAGGTGGAGGAGATTGGAGATGGTTGAAGGGAGGTTGAGTCCACCGGAGATTGCGCGCCAGCTATGATGGTCGTCGCTTTCGGGCTGGATTGGAAGCTGCTCTGTGGAGGTTGTTGAAGTCGAGGGCTTTTGGATGGCGCGGGTAACGAACTGCCGCTTCCTCCTTATGAAAAGTTCATGACTGGAAATGGCGGAAAAGCTGGCGATGGACATGGTTCTCCTGATGAGGAGCGAGTATTAAGCTTTGTGGTTTACTGATCTAATTAAGATCTGCAGCGGAAGGATTGGGGAAGTTTGAAGTTGGAGATTTGGGATTCTTTTTACGCTATATACTATAAGAATTGGCGAGAGTATTTTTTATTTTTATTTGACAAGTTCCAACTTTTTTTAATCAAATGCGCGTAAGACCCGGCACTTTAATGTGCTAAAGAACTGTCTTTAGTTGATTTTTTTATGTCGAGAATTTTATTTTAAAGGGAAATTTACATGCATATCATTATATATACTTAGTATTTTACATATCTAACACCTCATTTTTAAATATTACAATTATATCACTGAAATCCCTATTTCACCTCTATTCTACCACTCCGTCTACCGCGGTTCTTCACGACGCTTGTTCGCACGGTAACGACGACGTCTTCCAGTTTTTCGTTTTTAGGGCATCATTGAGTCGGACCTCTTAACAATGCAAGGTAAAAGAATGAAAACTTTGTTCCGACTTTCTCTTCACGCCATGGAGGTCGGCATTTAGGTCGGATCGTTTATGCAGAGACAGTTTTGTTGAGATTTTAACTTGGATTGATTTCTTCTTACTTTGTTCCGACTTTCTGCTTTCTTGAGCATTGGAGATCGTTTATGCGGCAAAATGTTGGATTGATTTGTTTTTCTGGTTTTCCTTCTGTGCTGTGCTTGCAGAAATTTTTTTTTTCAAGCCGGCTTTCTCTTTTCACGGCTTTCAGGTTGGCATTGAGGCCGGATCGTTTATGCAGAGATAGTTTTGTTGAGATTTTAACTTGGATTGATTTATGCAATTGTTGGAATGTGTTGACATTTTTTTTTGCAGGAGGAATCAATCCCTAGTATATTGCCATTGTCACCTCAAATGTGTTTTGTTTACCTGTCACCAAGGACCAAATAGTGGAAGACAATTTTATAGGTGTATTTATAATCGAAGTGATGATGATTGTCATTACTTTAAATGGGTTGATTAAGAGGAAGAGCCATGCTATGTCACACGTTACGAATTTAATGCCTTCGACAGAAAGACTTCTAAGAAGCTTGACATGATTCTTCTAATGATTAAAGTTTTTATTGCGGTTGTTGTTATCGACGTTACCATTCGATTTTATTTTGGCTAGAATTATGTTGTATTCAAGTTGAATGTATGATTGGTTTTAGAGGATGGTAGGTGTTGCATTAGTACTTTATTATGTATTTGTCGAAGGTTAATAGTTCAGGCTTTGCTATGACTTGAGCTAGTCTTTTGTATTAGTATTTTGTATCTTCAAAGTTTTTTGTTGGAATAAAAAAAGTATAAGTTTTTTGTTGGAATGAAGTATTGATGTGTCTTCTGTACTTATAGTTTTTGTTGGAATGAAAAAATTATAGTTGTTGCTATGGCTTTGCTATGACAGGATTCTTTTGTACTTATAGTTTTTGTTGGAATTCACTTAAACAGCAACCTGTATAATCCTCATTATTGAAATGTAACATAAAATTTTGCAGTTATTCAAAGAACTGAAATTCCTGGAACCGAATTCTGTGAAACTGAAGCTTTTTCTGTAAAAACTGAAGCTTTTTCTGATGAAACTGAAGCTTTTTCAAACTGAATTCCTGGAACCGAATTCAAAGAACCGAATTTTGAAGCTTTTTCAATATGAAACTGAAGCTTTTTCTGATAAACTGAAGCTTTTTCTGGAACCGAATTCTGTGAAACTGAAGCTTTTTCTGATAAACCGAATTCACCTGAACCAAATTCACTGGAACCAAATTCTGTGAAACTGAAGCTTTTTCTGAATTTACAGTATCAGTAGTTGCTATTTCATATTGAAAGCAAAAACAAAAAAGTTTACACGGAAATTCAAAGCAAAGCTTCTATTTCATTTTGAAGATCACAAAAATCTTACTCATAACATTTTTCCCAAAAGAAGTCAAACCCCAAAAAAGTAATCCAAAATAATTGTGTCATATCCCAAAAAAGTAATCCCAAAAAAGTTTACTTAAAAACCTTCAATATTCGAATACTCGTACAAATCTCCCAACTCCTCTACAGCCCTTCTACTTTGCAACTTTGGACGCTTTGGTTGTCTTACTTGTGTGATAATTATGTCATTGACCTCCATATTCTTCTGTAATGGGTTCTTACATGTATTTCGATGATGACCCCAAAGATTACACCTACTGCATTTATGTACTGTCTTGTCCTTTTCCAAAAAATTAGGCAATCTTCTTCTTTTGGGTCTTCCTCTAGGACAAGTGTGAACACCATCAACCCATGCAGATGTGGCTAGTCTATTCCCAGCACGGTTGATGCCTGGACACGTGTGAACACCATCAACTCTTCTAACTTCAAAAGTTTGAGCATCTTCACATAGGGAAGCTCTAATTCTCCATTGGCAACTTTGATAAGAACATGTAGCAATAACACGTTTCTTATCACTAGCCTTAATCCTAACACCAAAATTCTCTTTGATGGCAACTGATCGCAAAGTATGCTTGAAAGATATTGCATCAGGAAAATATGTGCCAACAGCTATATCTTTATAACATAGACCTGGAACACTCGAAATACAATCATTATAGTCAAAAGAACTTTCAACCATCTCAGAATTTACGAACTCCCTTAGATTGGACATAGATTCATGTACTGTAATAACTATCTCAGCACGCAAATTATCATTAGATACTTTTATGAACTCAGATGCCTCAACGTCAGAATTTAGATCGTTGTATTCTTTAGGTGATGTTCCATATATGTAATAATGCATATGTTAGGATCTTGGAGGATGTTCTTGAGAGAGAGAGAGAGAGGGAAAGGGAGAGAGATAGACACAAAATTGGAGGAAATACAAATAAGCTTTTCAGATTTTTCCCCAACTCTTACATCAACCCAAGGTCTCTATTTATAGAGCTTCACCAAAGTCTGATAACATGCATGAGCAACCTAGCCTAAAACTAAAACAACTCATAATAATCTCCACCTTGGTTTAGTTTTGCAAAAATCAAAGAACCACTCGTCACAAGAACTCGAACTTGTTGCAATCCAATCGATCGCCCTGGACACACGTGCGCGCTCCTACCTGCGACTTCACACGATCCACCCGTCCAATCCCAAGTTCGCAAACATCTTTCCTCCACGAGGTTCTTGATGCTTCAACATGCTCCTCGAATCCAAGATCAAGAGTCTCTCTCTCCGCCTCTGCAGCTGCCTTCTGGACTCCTCCTGAATCTAAGACTCCACCTCAAAGAAGATCTGATCTCTTCATTAAAGATCTGAACCAATTTTCAATACAAGAACAAATATTGCTTCCAAGCTAGTCAAGACCGATCAAAACTTGATTCAATAGCAAGCAAAAAATTCGGCCTCAATGGCTTCCATGCCTCCGCTCTTGTTCCAAATCCGATTCTTTCTCACGTACCAAGGCGCATGAATTTCCCGCATGCGAACCTTACCTTCGTCTGCTCCGATCAAGCCTTCAAGAACACTGGCTCGCCATTGGCCAACGTGCCTCCGCCGGAAGCGTTGCCGCCTACCCGTGTACCTCGTGCACACTACGCCTCCTGCACACGCACCACCTGTGCCTACCCGCAGCACCCACGCTGTGCTGTCCCACGCATACCGCTGCACACCGAGTGGCTTCCCGTCTCGTGGCCAAACCAGCCCAACCGGCTCTGCTTGCCAAAACTGTCCGCTGTTCCTCCCTATCAAGAATCCCACTACAGTACCTTGCGGAGCTTCCTGCTGGCGTAGCTTTACAATCAACCGAAGCTACCTCTTCCGCCTGCTTGCCTCCGCCCAGTAAGCCAACCCGACGCCCGTCGCCTCCTTCTTGAGCCCACACGTCCGTCCGCGATGCTCCAACCACATGACAGTCCGGACCCTGTCACCGCGCCCGATTCCGCTCCTCACGCACACCGCGCGGCTGCTTCGCCTACTCACCTGCGAGCAAGGCCCGATGCCAATCGAGCGCCCAAGTTTAGCTCTCCCGTTCATCTGCCTTCTGCTAATCCTGCGACCGAACTCGCGTACTCAAGGCCGAATGCTCCACCTCAAGAACGCATCCCTCCATCTCCCTAGCTCTGATACCATTTGTTAGGATCTTGGAGGATGTTCTTGAGAGAGAGAGAGGGGAAGGGAGAGAGATAGACACAAAATTGGAGGAAATACAAAATAAGCTTTTCAGATTTTTCCCCAACTCTTACATCAACCCAAGGCCTCTATTTATAGAGCTTCACCAAGGTCTGATAACATGCATGAGCAACCTAGCCTAAAACTAAAACAACTCATAACAGCATATTATATGGATGTCCCTTGAGCCAAGGACATATTCGAGCAATCTCGGCTATAACTGCAAAAATCATGAGTTGTCCTTTCTCAATTTTACAGTCCTTTGTTTGCCACCATCGTACCTCTTTCTATGTTGGTCATTGGTTTGAGCCAAGGACATTTAACAGCCTGCATTATCAATGATGAAAACGTTATTTATATTTTTAATGTGTTTCAAATCAATCAATTAATACTCACGAAGTAAGTTGTCTGGGAACACATCATGAATAACTGTTTCGACAATGATAAACTTCTGTTACTGCAACTTAGCCTGAAGTATCAATGACAAAATACATAATAAAATTCAATGACAAAAATAAACTTCTTTTACTGTGAAATAAGCACAAACTATTTTAGAATGAAAAAAAAGGGCGTAATACAAAAGGACATGGCTTAATCCACTGCCAAGCTTAATAACCGGTATACACTAATCCTACTGCTAAACGAGGAACGCCGGAAGAGAAATGTTCGGAGAAAAAATAGAACGCCGGAGAGAAATGTTTGCCTGGCGACAAGCTTCTTTTCGGCAAAAACAGAGGGAAATGTTCGAGAGAAGTAGAACCTGCAGTTCGCCGGGATTGGGGAGCGTATGACGGAAAGAATTTCGGGACAAGCCTGGCGCGAAGAGCTAATTTCGACGGGAAGTAGACGTCCTAATGTAAGCGGTAGACGGCGCGGTAGACTGAGTGGTACAGTTGAGGTAAAGTAGGGATTTGAGTGGTATAAGTGTATTATTTAAAAATTAGGTGTTAGATATGTAAAATACTAAGTATATAATGGTATGTATGTAAATTTCCCTATTTTAAACTGCCCTCAAAAAAAGCAAAATTATATTGAATGCAAATCACCTTTTTTTTGGAATTTTACCCATATGGTC